TATGAGGAATGACTTAGGGAGCTGGGGATGTTTAGCCTGGAGAAGGTTGAGAGGGGATATAATAGCCGTGTTTAAATATTTGAAGGGATGTCATATTGAGGAGGGAACAAGCTTGTTTTCTGCTGCTCCAGAAACAATGGATGTAAGCTCCAGGAAAAGAGATTCCACTTCAACATTAGGGGTAACTTCCTGACAGTAAGGGCGGTTCGACAGTGGAATACACTCCCTCGGAGAGTAGTGGAGTCTCCTTCCTTGGAGGTCTTTAAGCAGAGGCTGGATGGCCATCTGTCGGGGATGCTTTGATTGGGAGTTCCTGCATGGCAGGGGGTTGGACTGGATGGCCCTTGTGGTCTCTTCCAACTCTATGATTCTATGATTCTATGAAAACAAAAGCACCAATCCACTAACTATTACAATCAGTATTTCAACTTCTTTCACTACTTGCTTTTCAGAAGTCTCTTGGGTTTACAGCAAAACACAGCAATGGTCATGATAAGGTTAATACGATGCATTAGGTAGTTACAATCAACTACCTTGCCGTTGTGTGCCTTTAAGTCATTTCTGACTAATGATAACCCTAAGTTGAACCTATCATAGGGTTTTCTTCGCATGTTTCTTCAGAGGGGGGTTGCCATTGCCATCCTCTGAGGCTGAGACATTGTGACCTGCCCAATCCATTGGGTTTCCATGGCCGAGCGAGGATTCAAACCCTGATCTCCACAGCCATAGTCCAACGCTCAAACCACTATATCATGCTGATTCATACAATGTACTACTAACCCATGACATTATGTATGATACATTTTCTTAAGAGCTCATTTTAATATACTGATTTTTAATAGCATAAAAAAGTACTGAGAAATACCAACATGAAAATATCCAAAGAAATATACCACTGTTCCAGCATGTATGCCAAGTGTAATAGATCTTCCCAGGTACAGAGGGCTGTAGGAAGAAGGAATTAGCAAAAATAGCCTGTCCCTTTTCTACAGTGAGAATGTCCTGTGAGCAGAGTTCCTGTCACTCTAAACCACTGTCTTTTTATTAATTTGATATGTATACTAGATGCAGAATGCAAACATGAAAACACAACTTGATACTATCATAGTTACAAGGGAAGTGATAGTTTTATTTTTGCAGTTCCTATAAGCAGCTCTACAGAACAAGCTTCCTCTTTATTTACCAGGAAGTCCACATTTTTTAAACAGCATAGTTTTTTTTAATCCACCCTTTCAGCTATTCAGATGCTATGCCTCACACTTCCAAGAATGCTTAGTCTGAAATAATCCCAGTGTTGAACTGAATTTACTCACATTGAGCTGTGTATGAGTACAGCCTCAGTTAGCAATAATACAGATTGAATTATCAAATGCTAATAAAGTTAATTCAATGTCTAGCATGTGTACTTGCCAAATCCATGTTTGATAATTAGATTTCTATGTAGCTTGATAGTTGTGTGTTCCCTAAGCCCTGTACAACTACCAGCATCAGGAAATATGCAACATTTGTTCCAAATATGACACATACCTGCTCATCCATGCACACTTCAGTTATAGCTTGTGCAGAAGGAAAGGTATAGCATGCTTCTCTAAGGCTTATCTTAACAGCAAAATGTGCTTGCTTTGGGGAAATAAACACCATGAGGTACACATGCTGGCTTCAAATATCTGCAAGTCTACCATTCAGAAATTCCTGCCCACATGATCCCACAATTCAAACTCACTTCCACAGCTATAGCCTATTGTCACCTGTGCCTTCTTCACACTTGGTTAACTGTTCTAAAGAATCTGTTCTAAAAATGACTCAAAGAGAGTCAACTTTAAGATGGAGAGACCACATGAAAAGTGTAAAAAGGAGCCACACACAAAAACATGCTCATTTATTTTGGTACTCACACATGAATAAAAAGGGAAGAACTCACAATGATTTTTATGACTGCATTCTTTCTAGCTTCAGATTTGGAAACCATTTGACATCCATGATGAAGACATGTGATTGACTGATAATCTTCTATATCTGTAAAATACATTATCCTAGCTCTAAAACAGAGGTTTACACTTCATTTAGTCTTAGGCAAACAAATATGGTGAACTTCATCCCAGGCATTTTTTTAAAAAAAAAAGCATCAGACACTTAAATACTTGTTTTCTACAATACATCTCACATGTACTGCAAAAAAGAACATGTGGCCTCCTCCAATGTTGTTCTGTCTTTATACAGACTTTTTTTCCTCTGAGTTGAGGTAAAAAGGTTGACATCTAAGTACTATGTAATAATGCATTTAAAAAAATATCTTTCCACTCTCTTTCCACAAGTATCAGAAGCAAATTAATCTGGGAAATCAATTTATATATTAAATTTACTGTCTTGCCAGAAGGGCCAGTGCTCTCACCTATATTGTTCAAAAGATCTGGTTGGGAACTAGGTACCCCAGTCTTACAGGCTTGAGAACTAATGGTACAATACAGTTGACCCTTCATAGCCATGGACTTTTTTTTATGCACAGATGCAAGCATCTATGGATTGAAAATATTCCAAAAAATATCAGTTCTAAAAAGCAAACTGTAATTTTACTATTCTATATAATGGACACCATTTTACTATGCCACTGTATTTAATGGGACTTGAGCATCCACAGATTTTGGTATCCACAGGGGGTCCTGGAACCAAACCCCAGTGGATAACAAGGGTTCACTGTACACTGAAATGCTGATATAAAGACAATTAAAAATCATTATGGGAATGTGCCATAGTTCATTTGTTGAAGACAGATCATAGTTTAGTGGTACAGCACACAACTGATATTCAAGAATACCCAGGTCTTATCTCTGGTGTCACTAGTTACGGCACAGAAAGGCGGCTAGTGACTAATGTCCATCAGTGTTTCTTGTTGTGTGCCATAAGTCAACTTAACCTGTGAACCTGTCACAGATTTTTCTGACGTTGAGAGTGTGTGAATTGTACAAGGTCACCCTGTGGGTTTCCATGGCCCAGCAGGGATTTGAATCCTGGTGCCGAGTCACAGTCCAATGCTCAAACCACTACACCACACTGGCTCCTTCCTCAGTATACACAGTCCTAAAATAGATGGACTAATGGTAGCTATAAAATTAGGAGGTGGTATCACATGCTATTGCATCTCCTTCATACGTTTATTTTTAGAATTATATAATTCTAAATGCTAACATTTACGAACATCAATTCCATATCTAGTTTGTGCACCTGCCAGATTCATGGTTGATAGATTTCTATGTAGTTAAATAGTTGTGTGTTCCCTAGACCCTGTACAGCTACAAATATCAGGAAATGGGTTGTTTGTAAACATAAGCATATAAATCTAAAAATAAGTACATGGGGGAGAGGCAGTGGCATATGATACCATCACCTAAGCTGAAGACACAGGGCCTAAACTCAGTTTACACCTGTGAATTCAGTGTACACCCAGTGCTTCAAGTGAGCAGATCAACTGCTCTTAAATTTGAGGAAATTAGGAATAATTTTGGAACACTCACAATAATCTGAAAAGCCATGCAGAAGACACAGAGCATATAGAGCATCCTTGAGCATACAGAGTAATGCCTTTTTTGCTACATTTCAAATGTATCTCCAGAACTTACTCCTGAGATTTTAAGCCAGTTCCAGGTACTCAGGGGGAAATTTACAACCCACTTAACTCCCACTGTGAAAACACAAGGGAGGAATGGAAGAAAAGAAAGGCAGTGAATCCCTATAAGTGGCCAACAGTGTGAAAAGAGAGAAAAGAAAGAAGTTCACAATACCTTTTAAGCAGGAAAGTCTCCATGGCAAAACTGATAATTTGGAAAACCACAACTACAGGGCTAACACCCGTTTCGGGTTTTTGAACACGTGGAACGATTTAACAGGGTTTTTTGAAAGAATTACTAGCAACAATGCTTCTAGATCCTCCTTCCCAAGTTTTATTAATTAAAAGGTCCCTTGAAAACCACATTCCTTCAAACAGCAGAATGATATCACTGCTCTGATTATGACAATGGGGAAGCATTTTTTTAAACCTATCTAGAGCTAAAATGTCAGGATCATAATAGCCTAGCATTAGGGATGTGATGAAAGCTCATTACCATTCATTAAACATACAGAACTTTTTGTTTTCTCCATGCTAGGCTCAAGTATTTATGAACTCTGAAATTTGGCACCTGCTTGACTAAAGTGTGAGAATTTGCAGATACTTCATTTGCAAAAGAAGCAAGGAGTGGGCACATCAGTGAGAAATGCTATGTTCAGGACTTTTTTATTATTAAGTAATAAAAGTAACAGTACCTCAGCCATTAATTTTATTTATGCAAGTCTCAAGGGCTGTAGACACAGGGCCAAAGTCCCATTCCCCCCCCCCCCCCCCCCCCCCCCCCCCGGCCCAGCCTTGTGTCTTCCTGTGTGGGTGACACAGGCCAATTCCCTCACCCTCACCTCAGGGCCAACATCAGGAAGAACGGACACCAATCTGTCAGTCCTGGTCCAATCCTGGCTCAGAAGGGCCTCAGTGTGGGTCAAAAAGACTTGCTGCTTGGGGTGAAGTTTTTAGGAAATTCCACAGCCACATCCAGCAGACTGGATGGCCCTGCATGCTCCTTACTTTCCTTTGCTGTCGCCTCTACTCAGAAGACCTTTAATGTAGCCTCTGACATGGAAAGGGGCTGTCTAGCCACATGGATGTAGCCAGGTGCCTGTTTCCATATCAAAGGCTGTGGTGGGGGTCGTCTCAGCAGAGGTGAGGGTGGAGGAACGTAAAGGGCACGCAGCAATAGCAGGTCCATTGTGCAGCAGTGGACAGGCATGTGAACACTCACCAACCCCCGAGCCAGCCTGGGGACTGACATTGAGGATAACACAGGTTAAGATGGCCCATCTACTCAGTCCCTCAGTCAAGGCAATTTGAATTACTCCACTCAGCTGCAAGGGGGAGGAGGAGAGGAAGGAATAGTAATAGCAAGTACATTTCTATACTGCTTATCAGTGAATTAACATTCCTAAGAAGTTTACAATGTGTAAGCCAACTGCCCCCAATAAGCTGGGTACTCATTTTATCAACCTACATAAGGATGGAGGGCTGAGTGGACCCTGGAGCCCTGCCTGGGATCGAACTCACAACCTTGTGGCTGCAGTACTGGCATTTAACCACTACACCACCAGGGCTCCTCAATTCAATTCTAAAGATAAACACAGGTCATCCTTCCTTGTTAGATACTGTGGAAGGGAAAGATAACTGAGTATTTTATGCCGCTCTCCAACCAACTACTTAAAAAATCCATTCAAATCATAATAATATATGTATGCATCTATATTTCACATGCACTGACATTGTACATAAGCATACATAGCTAGTAGGATCACCTAGCTAACTTGATATTCCTCATTTTAATTCTGATAGTCTCAGTCAAAACAATATAAATTACTCCACTGGCTTACCAGGAGGAAGAGAGGGTGAGGGAAGATGAAATTCCATCATAATGATAAATACAGAATATCCTTCCTTGTTATATACTGTGAACTGAGTATTACAGTTTACATTCTAATTGCAATAAGAGTTAGGAAGGGAAAGACAGTAGATTGTTTTATAGCCCTCATGCTTTGGGAATTTGTCAGGAATGTTTCCCTTCTTTGTGAAGGGTGACCAAGTTGAAATATCTCAGCCTCCACAGAGGAGCTAGAAGAGTAATAAAATTTCCTGCCCTCCCTCCGGGATGGAAAGAATAAAGAGAAGAAACTACATCACTACTAGCACTTCATGACCTGGCAGTAGTCACTCTATGTTGCAGGAACAAACTAGAAGTTGTTGTTATTGGCCTTCAAGTCATACCCAATTTATGGTGACCCTAAGGCAAAGCTATCAGGGGTTTTCTTGGTAAGATGTGTTCACAGAGGTATTGCTTTCACATTCCTCTGAGGCTGAAACTGTGTGAATGTCCATGGCTGATCGGTTTCCATGGCTGATGGGGAGTCAAACCCTGGTTTCCAGAGTCATAGAGCAATGCTCAAAGCACTATACCACACTGGCTCAACAAACTAAAAGTGGTAACCATTATCCTAAGAAAAGCAGGAATCAAATGATTTCCTTTTCACCTGTTGATAGTGTGTAACAACAACAAAAAACAATGGATACCATATAAGATTTGAGGAGAAGAAGTTTTCAACTGTCTTCTCCTGCTAGCAGAGCATCAGAAAGCTTGTCCCTGATATGATTGCCAGGCAAAATTAAAAGGCATAGCTGTGTTTGTCGGGATCACTATACAAAGGGATGTTGTAGGACCTTTCAGACTACAATCACCTGTCCCAATTTGTGGGGGATCAGTTTCAGACCCCTCTTCCTGCAAATTGGGAAAATCGCCAATATTGGAGCCCCATTAATTCTAACGGGGGTACACTCCTGTGTGCAGCACGCACACCATTTTGTCCCTCACAACTTGCCATCTGTGAAGGAACAAGGGATACAAATAGCAAGACCGTGAACAGAGAGGGATGAGTGTAATTGAGAAAAAGAAGTTGGTAGCATAAGCTTTCATATACTAAGAGCCAAAACAGACTGGCTCAAAACGGCGGCTTCTCTGAGGCTTGGGGGTGTGGTATTTAGACACTATCCACCCCGACACCACCCTGAAGCCAGAATCACGCTGCCCGCACACCTGCCCACACATGGGCTGTCTTCACAGCGTTCCAGCAGCGTGCCGTTTACATGCTACACAAGCATCAGTAAGCCGCAGTGGGAA